GTTCGTATGGGACGCAAAGTGTTGCAACCCGGGCTGGCTAGCTAAGCAAAAGCTTTTGTTTGTCATATTGATCGGAGCCAACGTAAAGCCATCGCGAAGTTCATCACTCCGTACTCCATGGATGCGTATGAGTTCTCACATGTGTAAAGACGCTGAAGGTGATGTACTCACCAGCATAAAAATATATACGCATGCACTGCACAATGCTTCACAGACCAACGAATGTCTGAAAAAAACCATACAGCGAGTTGATCGCTGCAATAAGCCGGCATGTCCCTCGGAAAAGTAGGAGGGAGGCTGTAAAGCAGTGCAAAAGATTGCCCAGCTCGACCGACGTTGATGGCATATCCCCTCAGGGAGGCTGTAGAGCCGCTGGCATGAAACTATGCATCAGGCCGCATGGACGTTCGAAGTACTGACACCAGAAAAGCGATTAGAGACGCTGCCAGCCAAGAAGAACTATGACATCGTTATAAACTGCACGCGTAGGTGAAAAGCTGAAATATCATGCTGTTGAGAAAAGAAAAAGCTGCTGCTGACAAGCAATTAACCTAAGTCGAGCTGAGCTGTGTCTTGGGCCAAAACATTGTGTTTGGAGCATTGTAAAGTAAAACATACATGAGTAAACACATGAAACGGAGATCTGCGCCAGGACACCACACATGCAGACGAAGGATACATGCATGTCAACCTGAGCTGGAGCGTCGACGTCATTGTCCTTCCTCGGGCGTACGATCCTCATGGACCGTCTTGGTCCAAATCTCGAGGGCTTAACTAAGGAAAAAGACATGGACACAAAGTCAACCTTGCTCCCCTCTTCATCTGCAACCTCGGCGAAGTTCGTGTCGTTGTTGAAGATCTCCTCGAAGTTGGGCTCTTTCTGGAGCAAGGCGAAGGTAAACTGCAGGAAAGTGGCTGCGGAGGATGCGACCCAATCCTTTGCATTGCTCTCTAAGAATGCCAGTGTGGCCTGTAGACCGGTACTGAACCACGGTGCAGTCTTTCCCAAGCTCTCGATCATGATGTCGTCGTGCAGCAACATGTACAGGTCGATGATCTGCTGGTGTAGGATGCCACCCTCGCTGGCGGGAACTGTTGTCAACTTGACGAGGGCTTGAAAGCCCAGGGACAAGCACGTAAATACCTTCCATAAACTACACATGCAAGCTTCGAGTTCTTGAGAGTGCACTTTGCCAATGAGTTTTGATGAGGCAAGCTTGTGCAAAGGTTGACGTGCAGCCAGGTTGGATAAGAGACCGCTGCATTCCGCAACATCATCCTGCGACAAGGCCTTCTGCGAGCAAAGATCGCTGAGGAAGCCGTCGACCTTCTCACACTCGCGAGTCTTGGTGCACACTGAGGAACCCGCTCTTCAGCTCGAGAACCTTCCTGCTCCAGAACATGCAACCGCTCTTGATTTTGCGAAACGAAAGTAGCTGATCCTTCACTGGCTGCGAGCCACTTCGTGACCATCTCGATCCGCCGAGGCCAAAGGCCTCCGGCGTCTTGATGGTTAATACTAAGCAACCCTCTACCTAATCCATCTCCCTGCAACCCAAACGCAAACTTCCACCCGCTTTGGCTTCCGTGCTGTCACGCGTGATTTTCCCTATTTCCCACCCTCCCCTGGCCCCCCCCGGCGCCCCCCCCTCCCCTGGCCTTCCCCCCTCCACCGCCCCTACCTTCCCTTCCAAACCACTTCCTTCCCATCTTTTGCTACTTGTCCATCTTCCCGCTGCTTTCCATCTCCCACCCTTCCTTCCTGTCCTTCGCTCGCGTTTTTTCCATAGCTTACTTCCCGGCCTACTTCTCTTGACTTGTTTTTTGTTCTATCCTGTCCATTCTTCTTCCAAGCGTTCCTTCTTCCTCCTCCACGTCCTTGCCTTTGTCTTCTTTTTCCACCTTTTCGCAGCTTTCCGGCCCCAAGCTCCCTCCTTCCTTTTGCTTCCCTTCCTTCTGCCCCACTTCTTTCTTTTCTTTGTCCATCTTTTACCACCCGCTACTTTTCCATCTTCCCGCCTCTTCCGTCTTCCTGCTCCCTGTCCGCCCCCCCGGCCTGCCCCCCCCCCGGCCTGCAGCCTACCCGCTGCTTTCGTTCGCGTGTTGCTTTTATTGTTCTTTCCTTTGGTTGTCTTTTCCCCTTCCTGCTCTGTTCTCACTTTTGCTCCTCGCGTCCTTCTACACTTTCAGTCCTTCCTTCCTATGCTTCGTTCGCGCGCTTGCTTCTTCTGTGGTTTTGCCCTTTGCTTCCTCGCTGAAGTTCCTTCTTTTTTCCTGTTTTGTTGCTCCACCTGCTTTTGACTTGCTGTCTGGTATTCTGTTCCTTCTTCCTTGTCTTCGCGGCGTGACTGCTGATAGCAGCGTAAATGAGGATTTCCGACAAGCATTCAGCAAAACCAAGGACACACTGCATATACTGGAATGCTGCTTTCAGACGCTTCCGCTGCAGCTGCAGTTGCTGGTACTCAGCAAATGTCATCACATCGCAGCCTGGGAACGGCCGTTCTCCAAACTGGGGCAGCCCGGGCGGGGGGGAGCAGGGGAGGGCAAGCCATGCCACAGTTCGGAAACAGCGGGATGCCAGAAACCGGTGCACCCAAGCCGGCCCTACCCTGCCTTCCAAGCCTTTCTCCTTCTTCTTTCTCCGTCTTTTGCCACTTTTCCATCTTGCGTGTTTTTTCCATTGCTTACTTCCCAGCCCACTTCTCTTGACTTGCTTTTTGTTCTACCCTGTCCTTTCTTCTTCTGAAGAAGCGTTCCTTCCTCTTCCACATTCTTGGCTTTTTCTTCTTTTTCCACCTTTTCGCAGCTTTCCGGCGCCAAGCCCCCCCCCTCCCCTCCGCCCGGGTCAGCCCCTCCCCCAACGTCCTTGCCCTTTTCTCCGTTTCCACCTTCCCGCGGCCTGCTGCTGCTGCTGCTGCAGCAGCTGCTGCTGCTTGCGGTGCGCCGCTGCTGGCACTACTGGAGCCGCCAGCCGAGGCGGGCCGCGTAGCGTTAGAATTACCTTCGACGAACTTGGCACAGAAACTTCAAGCTCACCTTGGCCGCCTTTGTCCTTCGCCTTGAGCAACGTGTCCACAGTCATAGGCTGGAGCTCCTGTGCAATGTTCCAAGTCCAGCTGGAGAAGCTGTTCAGTTCTGACCCGGGTGATCTTTTCAGCTACGGTCTCCATCAAGTGTATCCCTACAAGAAACAAAGTCAGACTCCTGTGGAAAGAGCCCGTCTTGCTCTTGATCATCGTTGACCTGTGCCCGGACACAATGTCGCAGTCGTCCAAGCTCAGCCCTTGTTCTGAAGCGGCACTAGATACAAGGGTGCCCAAGCGACGTGGGTCATCCTGGAGGAGGGCGTTGGCCTTTGCCTTAGCCGCCTTAGCCTTCGCCTTGGCCGCCGCGGGCTTCTTAGGATCTGCCGTCGTGGTAGAGGGAGTCGAGCCACCGCCAGGATTCGCGGAGGCATTCGGCGCCGGTGCCGGCGCCGCCGTGTTTGGGGCATCCGTGACAGCCTTGTCCGGGCCTGCGAACCCCTGCCTCGGATGTACATTGCAAGCGGAACACACTAGGGCACGTGTACAACAACGGTGCAGCTGGAGCACAGTTCTGCCAGCAACTGCTTGGCTTCAGGGTGAGGGTCTGCAGCAAGTGGGACAAGCTTCGCCTTCCTCTCTTCCATCCGGCGGTATTCATCTTCCATCGAGTCACATGTTACCAGCCGGCAAACACGTGCACCCATGCTCCGGAGGTTTGGATCCGGTTTGGCACCTTGGGTCACGAGGAATCTCACAATGAAATGCCATACCATACCAGCCCGGGCTGTTCGACATCAAAGTAAAGGCCGTTCAAACAAACAAGCAACGATTAGCCTAATCGTTACCTGTTGGGTGGATTTTAACATTGGGATTTTGGAGTGAGGATTTTTTGAGCAGATTGTGCATGGCCTGGAACTTTACCATCGTTTAAGCAACATGTCTGAAAACTTGCGGCGTGAGCGCCGATCTGGCTAAGAGTTTGCTGACTGGAATGAATAATCTCGACTCGCTGTCGAAACTGCTTCCAAAAGTTATATCTGGGTTAGTCTATAGCTATAGTTGCTTGCACTAGCCTATGCATACCTTTCGGAAAAAAACGTATTGGTTGTCGCGATCGCTGTCGCATTCCAAAACTCGTGTTTAGAACTTCTGTGCGCAAGTGTATATATATACATATATATATATATATATGGACATGTACACATGCACTTTATAACCCGAACCCGCACAAACACACACACACACACACACACACACACACACACACACACACACACACACACACACACACACACACACACACACACACACACACACACACACACACACACACACACACACACACACACACACACACGTGCAGACCGTGGGAGAGAGAGAGCGGGAGAGCAGAGAGAGAGAGTTCGCCGTCGATCTGCAGACCCCTCCAACGAAGGCACGTCTGGAGTGAATATTTCAAGCAAACATGTTTGCTCAGAAACGCCGGCATAGACTTGCTTGCGATGAGCTTGATACGGCGGATGCAATCTTCGCTCAAAAAGTTGTGGAGGTAGCGGCCGTTCAGCGGAAGGGTGTCGAGGATAGAGTGTTCAACGTAATGCTGTTTCGGTCGCATTGGCCACCGGCACAAACCGGCTTCCAGGGCTGCAGCATTCAGCTTGCTGTATCCGCTGCGAAACACCAAATACGACGATGTAAGAGCCTCAACATCTGCATCGTTGTGTTTTCTTCCTCCCTGCAGCATAATCGTTTCCATATTCGCCAGAGCGATGCATACTCCGGCCCTGAGCCTTGGGATGGCGAGCTTGGGAAGGCTAGTTTAAATTAGGGTTTAAGGCTTAAGGTTTATAAGTTTATGGGGTTTAGGGTTTAGGGTTCGTATGGAGAAAACCGTCACGAGGAAAACCATGTATCAAAACAGGCCAGAGGTCGCATAGAAGTGGTCGCCAGGATGCTGCTGCATCAAGTACTTCAGAAGACTTGAGAGCCAGAATATAGCATATCTTGCAGCCCCAGCAGAGAGAAGCTTCTGCGATATTTGCAAGTAGTCCTTCGACTTGGGGTGGAGTGTCGCTGAGGAGAAGAGTCTGCGGGCCGCACGGTCAACCACTCCTGTCTTCAAAGCCATCAAACCAACTGCAAGCAATTCCCGACTAATTTATTTGACCGCCCCGCTCGAGCCTGATTCTTCGCACCAGCTGCGGTAACTCTCCCACAAGTTGTCCAGTTCAGCTTCACGTCTTGCTGGGTTGCCATCCGTCAGGTCGCACAATATGCTCCCCAGGACATCGGGCACCACTGCCAGATATAGCAGGTGCATAGTGTCGGGCCAGATTCCTTACATACAAGGTTTGTAATTATAGGGTTCGGGCTCGGGGAGTTATTTAGAATTCTAGGAGCCCTGTAAACCCACAAAAGCAAAACAGTTAACAGCCTTGCGTGCGAGCTTCGCCATGGATCAAAGCCGGTCAGCATCGCGAGCGGCGAAGGGCCGTCAACTCGGATAAATTCGCTGGCATCAACCAACCTATAAAGGGATGTGGATCAACACTTTAAGTTGTACATGACTGTTCCGGGCTGCAGATTTGAATAATGCGAGACGAGAAGCGTCATCCTATGCAAAGCCCGATGGCCGAAATTTGTATATAACAGATTCGGATCATTGGGGGCCCCCTCGGGATCGCCATTGGCGTACACCCATTGCAGTGCCTCTCGGGACAGGGCTTGCGAATATATCCACAAGTTGAACATAACAATTAAGTGGATCCCCGCCTGGCATAAAAAAACAGCACATCTTCCGTGTATAATCGCCTGGGCGAAGGTTTATAGGGTATGTGGGTATAGCTGCATGTTAACATGTAGGGCTTGAGGGTTAAAGGATTTGTTGTAGGGTTCGGGTTTTACACAATTCAAACCAAGTCTCGTTTCAGGCATAGAATCCGCTTGACGAACTCCAAATCAGCTTGTATCCCATCGAAAATTCCACGGGTGGCTGCACCAGCTGTTTCCACTAGGTTTGCACCGGCCTTCTTGAAACGATGCCCTTCGTAGCTTTTGCTGAAGGGAACACCCCAAGGGTCATTTGCGGGATATTTCCCACTTGCTAATGCTTCCAGGCTCCATGCAATTGTTTCCAGTATCTTTTGGCGTGTCTGCTCGCCGTGGTAGCACATGTTCAAACACGACAGCCTGCCAATCAGTCAGGCTGGCGGTCGCCGTATTTATGATCACATGCAACAATAGGTCTGATCTGCAGTCCGGTGACAAGAACCGCCCGTCCAAGGTTGTCGAACCATTGGTGCTCAAGGGAGCCAGCATGCAGAACATCTCGAACTTTGGTTTTTCTTGGATTTTAGCAGGATCGCACAATTGAAATCATGAATGTTCTTGCGAGCACAACACTGATTTGCCAACAGGCTGCTGGTGAACTCAGCCCCATCGCCATATAGGCGTATCGGCACACAGTCTCCCCAATCGGATTCCTTAGTTTCGACATCCATTTATAACTGCACCCGAGACACCTCATGCCCCGGAACCTTCAGGATCGGATGATTCTGGCACCACTGCTGATCCTGATCTGCCCAATATTCCCGAACCTTGGATCGGCACAGGCGTTCTGAGAGGTTTGGGGTTCAGGGTTGTTCCGAGATGCATATAATTATACTTTGTACTTCTGGGGGCCAGGTAGCTTTCTTTGTATTCTCATACAGCAGGTCTGAATGAGAAGTAGCATGCAGAGAGGCGAAGATCTCGCGCGGGAGGAACATGTGATGGTCAACTTCCCGGGTCCTCGACCCACGAGCATCACTGTAGCAGGCCGTCACCGGAATCCTTGGTTTGCAGTTCGGATGATGTCTATAATTAATGCTGGTGATTCGGATTAGCGATGCAGCTCGGGCTCCGAAATGTTTTCGGCAGTGCCTGCCTCCAAGGCTGTTTGTCCACCCATCGTTCCAGGAGTCGCATCTGGCCCCCAGGAATTTGTCTGTCCATGAAATGCCATCGACAGCTCCAGCAAGTCTGGCCTCGATCGAAGGCGTGGAATCCCTATCACGAGCACCGGCCAACTATACAAGGTCAACAGTTAATGCAGTCGAGGTGCGGACCAGTGCATGGGGCAAGTTGTAGACCCTGGCCATCGATTTGGCCAACTCAGCCAAGGGAACCTGCAATTTTCAGGGGTGTCCTATATTTGTTTCAACAATGCATGCAATCACTGGCCTGTCCATTGGCAAGTCGCTCCAGGGCTTGGTCACAGGTTTGTTGTACATATTCTCGCATGTAATCGCCATCGGTCGAGGATGCAGGATATTCTCGCACGTACTCGCCATCGGTCGAGCGTGGATAAGACATCGAAACATCGTCTTAAAGGTTTTGCGTCTAGGTTTCGAGCCTGAACGAGTTACAGGGTCAACGTAGGGTTTAGGGTTTAGGGTTGGGGGTTTAAGGTTTAGGGTTTAGGGTTTAGGGTTTAGGGTTTAGGGTTCGGTTAATTGTAAAGGGTTTGGGGTTTGGGGCTTAGGGTTTAGGTTTAAGGCTTGTGTTTCGGGTTTGCATGGGCCACCAGTGCACACATTAAATTGGGGGTTTAGGGTCCGGTTAATTGTAAAGGGTTTGGGGTTTGGGGCTTAGGGTTTATAAGTTTAAGGCTGGTGTTTCGGGTTTGCATGGACCACCAGTGCACACATTAAATTGGGCCACTTGGGCAAGCTGAGGCGGGGCGGTTTTGGCGCATCCACTGGCTGCAACTGCGAGGCACATGGTTCCTGTGCGGGCACCGGTCTGCTGACGAGTTGTTGGCTGCTCATCGCGAGCTTCGCAGTGCTGTAGCAGGAACACAAAGTGCAGCATAAGGGCAGGGTCGGGTGTTCGAGGAAGTGTATACATGTATATATGTGTGTGTGCATGTGTATCGAAGATCATATATGCATGGCTGTCTATAGACTGCTTACACACCATTGCATGCACACACCGCCTGCCCTAGCCCCCAAAAGTTGCCATGGATCGAGATCACTTCGCCCGCTTTGCAGGCGGCTCCTCCTCGGCCCATTCCTGGTTCTCCTCTTCGGGCTGCTCGTCTTCGGGAGCATCATCTTCATCAACATAATCATTTTCATCTTCCTCTTCCTCGTCGCCGCCGGCTTTCTTTTTCTCCTCCTTCTCTCGCTTCCGCTTCTCAGTCGCGAGGCCTGCATGCTGTTGAATCTTACGAGACAAACTTGAGTGCGCATGCCATCAATTGAAGCCAAAGTACGTCGCTTGTTGGAGTCGACGATGTCTTCGGCGTCGGTGATGATTTTCTGCTTGGCCTGCACAATGCTTATGTAAGGTTCCGGGGTCAAGGTTATGGGGTGTGGGAATTTTAGGAATTATACACTCGGACAATCCAGGGTGAGGGTGCGGGCTCAGGTGAATCGACAAAGATTGTAGCCTCCAGCTGTGGCTTGTACTGCTCCAAAGCATATACACAATCCTCCAGGGGCTTGCAGGCGAACACCATGCTCTGCAGCCTCGGATCGATGCATCTATCATGCACACGTGATTCGAGGCACAGCGATCGGATGCGGGAGCTGACGGTCGACATATATTGCCACTCCAAGCATCTCGGCATGGATCTCGCTGCACTCCTTCGAGATGGTGCCGAGGTGCTCCACCATTTTCTCAGGATCCGGGTTAAGCACATTTTCGGGCTTGGGTTCAGGGTATCGTTTGGGCTTCAAGGCTTAACCCGGAACCCCAAACAAACTCCCAAACGCTAGTAGTCTGAAACCCTTATAAGCCCAACCCCCCAAACCCTTAGACCCTAAACCCCTGCATGGTGTTACAAGTCTCGACTTGTAATTCATGTACAGAAGGCACGGCAAGCTTTCAGTGTGCCTCCTGGTTCAAAACGCCAGCAGATGTGATCGAAGTCGCCACGAGTACTGCCTTGTCCGACATGTTCCGTACCCTGAGTTGCACTGCATTGTTTATTGCAACATGAAAACAAGCGGAGGCAGGCAAGCTATCGTCTGGGCTCGGAACCCTTGGTGATCTTTGTTGAAATCCCTCTTCAGCTTCTCCTGAACAAACACAGCTAAGGGGATGTAAATGTGTAGGTTTTAGGGTTTATAAGGTTTTTCCCTCTCGCACGACAGGCACGGTTAGGGTTTAGGGTTGAGGGATTGGGGTATAATCACCCTATATATATATATATATAAGGGTTCTTCTTCCCTCTCTCGTTCTCTCTCCCTGACCTTTTTCGGCTTTCCCTGCTTCTTCGGTTTCGCATCTGCGGCGACCTGTGATTTGGCGATTGCAGAAGCTTTCGCTTCGAGCGTGGCAGCCAAGGCCGCTCTCTCCTCCTTGTTTGAGCTGGGCTTGAGCGAGGCCGAAGTTTGCGTCCCGACCCGGCTGATAGTAGCACCTCGGCAGGATGTTAAATTACAGGTTCTTAAGGACTGGGTGTCGGAGACAGCACGAACAACTAGTGCAGGCGAGTCTCTAGACAGATCCACACACTTGAAAAATTTTTTAAATCCGCCATTCGGGGTCGGAGGTCTGCGGGTGGGTCTTGCCAGTCTGGTTCGCCTGCGAGTCCTGGATAAACTTCTCTCCTCCGGGAAGGTGGGCGTGCTTCTGCTTTATCTCACATAGTGGGAGTTCTATGAACCGCTCATTGTTGACCGTTTCTGCCAGCCTTGGATGATCGAGTCGCAGGGGCTCGGGGATTGCACTAAAGAGATCTTACAAAGACATGGTTTGCGAGCCCAGTGGCTCTTCGAAGTAGGGCTGCACCTCGATGGAACTCATCTGCGTATCGAGCAGGTAGGCTTTCAAGAAGGCAAACCTCAGCGATATGTTGGGTCTCCAGCTACAGTCGACTTGAACCCGTATTTGCTGCCTGGGGACTTGTCCGTTGGCGATACGGCAGCTTGCCACTGCTCAACCAGTCCCTTTCGTAGCCCTGGATCACAACATGTAGGGGCCTCTCTCTCTCTCTCTCTCTCTCTCTCTCTCTCTCTCTCTCTCTCTCTCTCTCTCTCTCTCTCTCTCTCTCTCTCTCTCTCTCTCCTGCCAACCTTGCGGATTCTTCATGCGGCGTCGAAGGCCCTCATTGAGCCGCTTCCTCTCGTTTAGCTCGATGTCTTCCGGCGTATTCAAGGCCTCGACAGATAGGGATCTGCTAGATTATTGAGCTCTCGACTGTAGCTATCAGTATATGGATGCAAGCATACCGCCTGAATCTCGGCTCTCTGCTGGTCCGTGAGGTTTCGAACCTGAAGTGTGCATTCTAGGGGTATGCAGGGTTTAGGGTTTAGGGTTTATAGGGTTATAGGACAAGACGAGAACTGAAGTCATCCTAGATTGCATCCAAAAAACGGCATTCGGGTTCCCGGGGAAGACAAAGCCGGGGACCTTGGATGCCTCAGGCACCGCTTCTTCATCCATCGGATCGCTGGGATCGCTGGCCCATGTCTCGGTGGTGTCCGTGCGACGAGGCCTGGCAGGCATGTGTTGCCCGGCAGCCAAATTCGCAACGAATATTCAGCCCGGCGACCTCTTAGAGTTCGGATCCTCGTTGTCGTTGGCCACGGTCTTGCCTATCCCGACAGCATGCAAACTATTCTTATATTATACAAGAACCCAAGAGCCCACACCCCGATCGGCCTTTGGAACTGCTCTTTGCAGCACCGGCCGTCTCGGCCAAGGTTCTTTTGCGACTCGGATCATTGCCGGCACCAGAGGCACCAGAGCCTTGGCCAGCTCGATTTCGGGACAGGATTATTCGGTGGGGTTACGACACATGACACGCATTAACACATATATGTGCGTGTGTACATGTATATGTATATAGTATACATGCATGCCATGCAAGACATGAGCCCCGGGGCTTTGGAAGAGGTTGCTTGCTCGGTGTTGCCCGAAGAGAGCTCGCATACCCTTGGCTGTGCACAGCCCAAACTTGTCGTCCCTGCCTCGGCCCTTCTCTGGTGAAGTTCCTTTGCCCTGCAGCAGGGCGAATTTCCCCTTCTCCGGGGCCTTCTCTTTTCCTTTTCCCTTCTCTTTCCCCTTCTCCTGGCCCTTCTTGGTAGGGTTTCCCTTCTCCTGCCCTTTTCCCTTCTCTTGGCCCTTCTCTTTTCCTTTTCCTTTCTCCTGCCCCTTCTCCGTGGTATATATGGTATAGTAGTCCTATAGTAGGAGTATAGTAGTAGAGTAGTATAGTAGTAGTAGTAGTAGTAGTAGTAGTAGTAGTAGTAGTAGTAGTAGTAGTAGTAGTAGTAGTAGTAGTAGTAGCAGTAGCAGTAGCAGTATAGTAGTAGTAGTAGTAGTAGCAGTAGTAGCAAGTAGTAGTAGTAGTAGTAATAGTAGTAGTAGTAGTAGTAGTAGTATAGTAGTAGCGGAAATATATATATATATATATATATATTTATATTTATATATATATATAGAGTAGGAGCAGCATGCAGTAGCAATGCCAGTGGCTGTATAGTATGAGCAGTAGCAGCAGCAGTAGCTATATAGTCGTGGTACTAGTTTACTATATAGTATATAGTATAGCTAGCATTATAATCGTGCAGCAGTAGCAGTATATAACTGTGAATCCCTGTAACCCCGAACTCGGCTCTTCGATTTGGGGTTGGGAGCTATAGCATGCCTTAATTTGTTAGGGTTTGGGACACGGGGAATACAAAGGGCATGAAAGGCCGACCCAGCATCGATCGATTTTCCCATCCTGAGTGGAGCGGCTTTGCAAAGTGCAGCATGCACAAGTAGTATAGTAATATAGTAGTATAGTAGTATAGTAGTGTAGTAGTATAGTAGTATAGTAGTAGTAGGTGGCGTATAGTCGTGTAAAGTGGTGTATAGTGGTGTTGTGGAATACAGTGGTGGATAGTGGTGTATAGTGGTAGTGGCTGGTACTGGTATGTACTATATATATAAATATATGCTCACCCCCCCCCCCATGACAGACCGTCGTGGGGAAGGGGAAGGGTGGCGTGCGTCCCCAGGCAGGATCTGTCAACGGATAGGCGACAGACACTTCTCCCAAACTCAATTCCAAAATGTTCTTTTAGATGGTTTGCAATTTTTGGAAATTTCTTCACATGCATGCAGCGCTCCTAGTCCCAATCTTAATCTCAATTCTGCTCTTCGTACCACTATTACTGTTTGTAGATCTTAATTCTTGTATCAGTGTTAGCATTAGTATTAGTTTTGTGGTAGTATTGATATTAGGATGTTTAGTATTAGTAATAGTATTCGAATTAGTATTACTCTTAGTATTAGCATTAAGTATGTAAACTGATGTTAATAGTAGTAGTCGTCGTACTAGCAATAGTTGTCGCACAGTAGTAGTAGTGGTAGCATTAGTATTGGTATTAGTATTAGTGTGAGTATTAGTATTAGTATAAGTCACTAGTATGAGTAACAGTATTAGTTTTAGTATTAAGTATGTGTAGTAGTAGTAGTAGTAGTAGTAGTAGTAGTAGTAGTAGTAGTAGTAGTAGTAGTAGTAGTAGTAGTAGTAGTAGTAGTCGTAGTAGTCGCAGTAGTAGTAGCAGCAGTAGTGGTGACATTAGTATTGGTATGAGTATGAGTATTAGAATTAGTAGCTAGTATTAGTACTAGTATTAGTGTTAGGATTATGTTGATTCCGATGTGCTTCACATTGCCTCCGGCTCTGTATGATCAGTCTTGTATGCTGGTCGAGTGATGTTCCGCATGTGTAAGATTGCAGTCGCATGTTCGGCTTGGAAGACAGTGCATGCTTTAAGCAAATGCAGGTCCCAGGTCCTAACGTATGCTTGACGCTTTCTTGTGAGAAAAACAATTCGCCTCGCCGGTTGCCATGGAGTGCCCTGTCTGAACAAGTTGATATGGCTGTAAACCCGGAATCGAGTTCCAGAGATCTTCAGGTTATGAGTCGCCCAAATGAGGGTGGAGGTCAGCCTGTGCTTGAGGGTGAAGCTTCGGGCCCTAATTATGGGGCAGTGAACGGAGTGGTTCCCGGACATGGAGCACGAAGGACAGGTGCAACGTCTGCGTTGCCGCTTGGAAGAGCAGTGTCTGTGACAGATGTTCGGAGGTCTGATTCTAGTGGTCAGGCTGATGTGCAAGGGACTATACCTGCTGTAAGTGATGAGCCCTCTACGTCTACGACCCTACCAACCGGACTGGGCGCGACGCACGGCACGCATGCACAACCTACGACTCAGCAGCCTACAGCTCCACTTGCACAGCCGCCGCAGCCAGCAACAGCCCCAGCGCAATCACAGTCTGCAGCACCAGAGCCACCGCAGCTAACAGCTACGACTTTGGAACCACAGCGTATTGCACCACCTCCACCACCGCCGCAGCCGCTGCCGCAACGTCCGCTACAACATGCAGTGCATCAGTTGCAAAGGACAGCAGTTGTGCAGGCCGTTCAGGCCAGAGCGCAGCGTGCATTGCATAGCGTTCGAGGAGAGGATGTGTTTTCTTCTGCAGAGAGTTTGGTTGGTTCACCGCAGTCCGTCCTGCCTCGTGAAGATGAAGGACGGAGTCAGAATGGCTGGTCGGTGACACGCATCAGTGAGGTGCTTCATCGGCGTTTCGTTGCTCCTGTACTGGAGCACGTTGGCGGTTCTGATAGACCTGTGGGGCCTTCACCTACCTGGCACTCTCCCTCGAACCAAGGCTTTGAGGAGCAACCCCTGATGACTGCGGAGACTCAGCAAGCTATGGCAGAATGGACGGCGAGGCCTACCTCTTTGACGCTTCCTGTTGGTGAACGAGTTCATCGAGATGATAGCTCAGCTGGCAGTGTGAACAGGGAGGCTGTGATGGAAGAGGTGAAGAGGCAAGTTCAACTTGCCATGCAAAGTCGGGACCAGGAGGTGCGGACCCTCAAGGACCAGAATGAAGAGCTGAAGCGTGCCTTGGATGCCTCAGCTCAGTTGTTGAACGAAGTGATGATTGCGGGTGGAGAGGAGTCTGCGCCAGGACTTCGAGGGACCTCAGCGGGTCTTTCTGGCAACGAACCAGGAGGCGTACCTGCGGGTGAAGGCGAAGGTGCAAGAAGGCGACCTAGTGCTCCCCCCGGTCTTGAAGGACGTTTGAACCCACCAGTTCACAAACCTTTCGGCCAAGGACGGGGTGAACCGGCCTACTTTGAGAATGCTGGAGGGGTGACTGGTCAGACGGCCCCTATTGGAGGCAATCAGGGCAACTTGGGATTCGACGTGAATCGGAGCTCCTATGGACCTGGGCCTGCGAGTGGGAGCCCTCTGCCAGGGGCGAAGGAGAAGGAGGGCGAGGGGCGATCGCCTATTGATCTTCTTGTTCAAGGCATGCAACAACTTCAGCAAGTCTACATGGACAAGAAGGCTGGCCCAGAGGCCGAAAGTTTGAAGGGGAGTTCTGTGGATCTTCCCCAGTTGCCGGAGCTTGTCGGCGAGACGGGCGCAGAGTTCAGCGATTGGTTGTATGTGGCGGAGCAGATCATTGGATCCATGGCGGACTCGGCGGCTACGTGGTTTCAGCTGACTTTGAAGAGTGCAAGGGATGCTTATGTTCGGCATCAGATGGCAACGCCGATGGAACGTCTAGCCATTGCGCCGGTTGCTTCGGCAGGTTTGGAGGATGGACGTTGGAACCGCTTGGAGCGCAAAGTGATGACTATGCTCCTGGCCGCGATGCCCAAGTCGGTCAGAGAAGATGCTGTGACACACAGGGTGGGCACGGTCTCGGGCGTGCTTTTCCGATTGCACGTCCTATATGGACCGGGCGGCAATGCCGAGCGGACGGCCATCTTGAAGCAGCTTGAAGGAGCACCTGGAGGTGACAACGTTGTAGAGGTGCTGGCCAGCCTGCGCCGCTGGCGTCGCAACCTTACCAGAGCCGTGGAGATGAATGTTACGCTTCCTGATGCCAGTGTTCTTTTGCGAGGTGTGGAAACTATATGTGGGTCTGTGATTCGCCGCCAGCATGATCTCAGCTTTAGATTGTCGCTGGCTAGGAATGAGCTTCAGTTGCAGAACCGGCCTACTCAAGACACAGTCCTCAAATACTACGACCACATCGTGGCGGAGCTGCAGCAATCGGCTCCAAGTCGTGCTCTACCGAGGGGATCTGGAGTACCTGGGGATGATCCTCCCAGGCTTCGAGCTGCTGATGCTCAAGCGGGTACAGGTGGGACCTTTGCCAAGACACCCCCTGGATCCCCGACTAAGAAGCAAGGCTCGCCATGCAAGTTCTTTATGACAGACAGCGGTTGCAGGCGAGGAGGTCAATGCAAGTACTCCCACGACTTCCCTTCGAAGGAGGAGAAAAGAGCGCGTTGCTGGTACTGTGGCAGCAAACAACACCGCCAGAGCGATTGCCCTGTGAAGGACCCTGGGAAGCCTGGGCGGTCACCTACTGCAGGAGTGGGTTCCAATGCGCCGGCCCCTTCGCCGGCAGTTGTTGCTGCCATCACACCGGAGCCGAAGGCCACAGGTCCCGTTGCAGCTTCGATGAGCTCTACGTTGACTTCATCCACTACGTCCTCAGAGCCCTTGGTGCAAGCGGAGGTTGTGCAACCCTTCACACCGGAGGCTCTCCAGAATCCGGAGCTTCAGAACTTTATTTCAGAACTTTATGAAGGAGGTGAACACAATGCTTCAACGGTTTTCGCGACTGAACCAGTTAAGTGTTGTTGATAATGGGCTCAGCGAAATGGTGAAGAAGGCCGAGCTTGTGGTGACAGAGTCTGATGTGGAGAGTGGACCTATGGCATTGCTGGACTCCGGGGCGACTAACCCTTACAGGCCGGCCGCTTCGCAAGATGATTGTTTGGCAGTCCCAGTGCAAGTGGAGTTGGCCGACGGACAGTCGGTGTTGCTTCGCCAGAACCGCGCCGGGACTTTGATGCCATATAGCAAGAAGCAGCTAGAGGACAAGGCCGCGAAGGTGATTGTACCGTTAGGAGCTCTGGTGAAAGAGCTCGGCTGTTCCGTCAAGTGGACTCGAAGAGGCCTGGAGGTGATTCACCCGGAGCACGGAGCCATCACCACGCATGTCTCGGGGTCCTGTCCTTTCATTGGAGAAGCTCAGGCATTGGAACTCATCGGCGAGCTAGAGGCCCGAAAGCTTGAGCAGCTGAAGGTTGCTATGGTGGAAACTCAGCTGCGCATGAACGGCTTGGAGGCGCGGGCCACCTATGAGAAGCAGCTTGCTGAGTACAGAAGGACGGGAAGCAGAACCGAGGGCTTGAAGGCGTTGATGTGTGACGATTCCTTGTTTGGGACTCTCACTGAGGCGCAGAGGTGTGCACTGATCCAGGAGGTGGACTTGAGCGACAAGGCGGGCCATCGTTATTTGAAGTCGTTGCCTGTGAAGCGGGCTATGAGGAGACGCCTTATGACGTCGCAATGGATGGTTCATCTTTATTCGGGTGAAGGCGGCAGTGAGGAGTTCAAGGTTTTGGAGGAGAATGGTGTTGCGTTGCTTGAAGTTGACCTGTCCCTGAGCAAGGCCTACAACATGAAGGAACCGAGTCTTGTGTACAAGGTTTTATTGTGGGCTGCAATGCGTGGACAGATCTATGGCTTGGTTGGGGGACCGCCTCGTGGAGAAGGTTGTGGGGAGTTGGTGATGAAGCAGATGTTCCTATGGAGCTTGGCACGTTTGACTGCGGAGGAGTATGAGGTTTCATGTCCCAGCTTCTTGATTACGATGCCGTCAGGAAGCGAACTTTGGAAGTCGTTCATGTGGAACCAGTACAAGGAAGCGATGGACTTGAAGATGCACCATGACAGCGAGGAGGTAACGATGGCTACGAGTTTGAGTATGAGACCTCCACAGGGGCAGTGGGAGCGTGCATCAAGAACTGGTGCAAAGGTGTGGACACCGGAGCTTCGATGGGCAATCGTGGAGGGAATACAGCACTGGAAAAGTTGTGTCGCCCTACGGCGCTTGGATGGACCTCTCAGCTCTATGTCAAAGGATGAGTTGGCGCGTTGGACTTTACATGTTCGGAATAATGGTCATATACCTTTTCACAAACGTTGTCAAACATGTGTTGCTACCCGGGCCACAGGACACCAGCACAGAAAGGTTGTGGCTCCATCGTGCTACGTGATGTCAGTGGATGTTTGTGGGCCATTCAGAAAAAAGGGGCAGACACCGGATTCCATGAGCTACAAGTACATGCTGGTTGCGTCCTACACGATGCCGGTGCTAAAGGGCCGCAAATGCCACCCTGACGATGAGATCATGAACGATGATGGTGGTGGAGTTGGCCCCGTACCCACAGGCGATCCAGGTGTGTTACCAGACAGTGCTCCAGAACCCACAGGCGATCCAGGTGTGTTACCAGACAGTGCTCCAGAACCCGCAGGCGATCCAAGCGTGTTACCAGACAGTGCTCCAGAACCCGCAGGCGATCCAGGTGTGTTACCAGATAGTGCTCCAGAACCTGGGGGTGAACCGGGTGAAGATTGGCTAAACGGTGAATCTCCTAATTTGGACTTGGATGAGCTGTTCGTTGAGGAGGAGGACGTGCCAGTTGGGGCTATCAAACCAGGTGAGCAAGAAGAATGGGATCGTCTCAACAAGGAGTACAACGAGTTGGTCGGAGAAGTTGGGGATGTTATGGACTATCAAGTGTTGCGGTTCGCGGTCCCCATGACTTCAAGAAGAGCCGCTGAAGTGAATTCCAGGATGAGGCAGCTCTATCTTCAGATTAGGTCAGAGGGTTTGGAGGTGGTTCGTTGTCATTCAGACCGAGCAACAGAGCTGTGCAACAAACGGTTGCGAGATTGGTTTCTTTCCCGCGGTGTTCTTTGTACCACTGGAGAAGCGCAAACTCCACAGCAAAATGGGCGTGCGGAGGCGAGCGTGAAGTTCGTGAAGTCCCATTGTCGTTCTCTACTTACAACCGCTAAACTCCCTGCTGAGTGTTGGCCTTTGGCCATGGGTTATGCCGTGCACAAGCAGAGACATGATGCCCTAGCGAAAAGAGAAGATCTACCTGCTTTCGGGTCTCCTGTACATGTACGAACCAAGGTGTATGGACGAGCTGGACGCTATGATGTCGAAAACAAATGGCGTCAGGGCATATATGTTGGCCCGTCCCAAGATGTTCAGCATGGACATTGTGTGAGGTTCCCGGATGGTTCATTCGTTACCAGCTTGCATTTGAAGGACCAGCTTGTGGATGCGGATGGTTTGGTGGATTTGGTTCCTAGGGAGGTGGAGCTACCGGTGCCGGAAAGGAGGGTTCGAGGAAAGAGAAGGCTGGCGATGTCACATGTCCATCCCCTCTCAAAGGAAGAGGAGCAAGCTGAAAGGGAAGCGAAACGCATGTTCAACAGCGGGGACATGGGCATTACAGCGATCCTGAACCTCTTCGAGCTGTTGAAGACAATCAAGGTGAAGCAAACAAGTGGACGAGCGGCCAAGAAAGGGGTTTCATGGACTACGGGAATGTTCGTGCATGGTGGTGTTGCGGGCCTTCGGGGAAACACAAAGAGAATGAGGTGGACAACAAGGTGCTTGGTGGAGGCTGCGAAGAGAATGGCTGGAGCACATGCGTTTACTGCGGTTGGCATTCTGGAAAACAAGGACATGGGTTGCCATAAGGATAGCCACAATGAGGTCGACTCTATGAACACCGTGATCATGTTGAAAAGACCTTTGAAGGGCGGCGCGTTGTGGTTAGAAAATGAAGAACTACGTCCTGAGCAAGCTGATTGGAAGCAGGTATCAAGGAAGTTGTGGAAGAAGGGTGAAACCCATGATCTACCAGTTGGCCAACCGTATGTTTTCAGTCCTCGTAAATGGCATGAAGTTCAGCCGTGGGATGGGGACCGAGTGGTTATGGTGTTGTACAATCCAAGGGCCAGTCACCTACACTATCAAGACAAGGATGACTTGGACTTTGTCGGGTTCCCAACCGTGCAGAATGACCTCGAGATCCCTAGTTCAGGTCCCACCGTGCAGAATGACATCGAGATCCCTAGTTCAGGTCCCACCATGCAGAATGACGTCGAGATCCCTAGTCCAGGTCCTGTAGAAGGGAGTGATGTGTTGTCACAGCTCAGTGCACAAGTTCAGGTGAGTGAGTCTCCGTTGGTAGAGGGTGCCCCGGAGCTCTACTTGATTAGACCTTGGGAGCCAGAAGACCCGGAGGAGCTTGATGACTACCTGATTACCTTGACAGAAGAGCAAAACCACTTGTTGCAAGACCTGCAAGATCGTTCGAATCGCTTGCGTCTGCTTCTTGAGGAGGAGCAGGCTTTGCTTGAAGAGTGCAAAAGGGCAGGCCAAGACGTCACCGATGAGGTTGAGCATGTCACGGCGTCCATCGAGGACATGATCCAGGAGGTTTCGGAGAAGCAGCGCGCGAAGGAAAGCGAGGCACACGATCGTCTCCTAAAGGCAGCTGAGGTCTCGGAGGAGATTGACTACGAGCAGTTGTTGAAGGACCTAGAGGGTGATTTGGAAGTGGTGCATACTGTGCCATTGAGTCAAGTGCGGACAGCCCTGGATCAGTGGATGGAGGCCTTGGAGAAGGAAGTCAACCAGTTGTTGGGTGGAACATTGAGACCCATCCCACTTGCGAAGGCAAAAGAGCTTGAGCGAAAGGGGCTGCTGAGGCTCGTCCCGTCGAAGGGGGTGTTCACCTTAAAACCCCCCGGTGTCAAGGGACGCAAGGTCCGCAGGAAATTTCGACTTGTCCTATGTGGAAACTTTGCACAGCCAGAAGGAGATCCCAGCGAGTTGTACGCCGGCGGTGCCAGCGCTGACACAGTCAGACTTGCTTGGACATTTGGAGCTCGACGCTTTTGGAGCGGGGGAACTTCAGATGTTACTGGAGCTTTCCTTTTAGCGGCTCGATATGCTATCTACCCCCCCAAGATCTTGGTGGAGGCAGGTTTGGCTAGTGCTCTGGATGCATGGGAGGTCATCCGACCTCTCTATGGACTGCGGGAATCGCCTTCCATATGGGCGAAATGGAGAACCAACAGACTGCAGAAAGCGAGGATTCCGTACAAGGGTGGTTTTATTGTACTCAAGCAGTCTACTTCAGACCCTGAGCTTTGGATGGCTTTCGATGAGAACGACAACTTGAGATCTTCTGGTGGTTTGTTGGCACTGTTGATTACCTATGTCGATGACTTGCTCTACCTTGCTGACCGCCCCCTTGTGAAGGCCCTACATGATTGGGTACAACAAGAGTGGCCTTGCTCTCAACTGGAATGGGCTGATGATGAGAACGGAACGCGGTACCTTGGTATGGAAATCAAGCAGCTGCCTAGTGGAGCCTTCGAGTTGTCACAAGAGGGGTATATCAAGGAGCTTCTCAGGAGCTATGGCATGGAAGAGGCTTTGGAAACGAAGCTGCCGTGTCCCAAGGAATGGCTCAATGAAACTGAGGAGGAGGACATGGAGAACTTCTCTGTGGAGGAGCTCAAGGCTGCACAGCGTATCGTTGGCGAGCATTTATGGCTGACGATGAGGTGCCGGCCTGATCTACAGTACCCTGTGATGTACATGGCTTCCCGGGTAAGCAAGCAGCCCAACAAGGTGATGCAAGTCGGCCGTCGGCTGTTGAGCTACTTGAAGGCTACGCAGTCCATGAAGCTTGTGATGGGAGTTGATTGTGAGGAAGCCCAGAGCCCCAGCAGTACAACAGAAAGCATCGCAGCAGACAAAG